GGCGCGGCGGGCGTGGCTCCGGGACCAGCCGGGCGCCTCCTCCCAGCCCTCTCTGGGCTTCTCCTGCTAAAGCTTCTCTCCTGATTCCCCACCTGGGGCAATGGCCACACCGCACTGAAATCCACCCTGCAACCTGCGTTAGCTGCTCTCCCCTACAGGGGTTCTCAGCTCTCAGATGGACTCACGTCCCCTTGATAGCGTTGCACTGAATAAAACAAACCTGAGACCAAACTCTTTGGATTTATGTCTCTGTTTATTTCAATGAGGAAAAATTTAATTCTCGTGAGTGGGGATGTGAAAAGCCAGGTAAGACGAGAAGCGCGACCACACCGGGTCAGGTCAATGGTGCAGCTAGTCCAGTGTCCTATATCCAACAGGGGCACACCCAGAACTTCACGGGCAGTGCCCAGAACCTGGTGATATTGGGGAGACCCAGCCCTGTCTTCCCCTCCCGGCTTCTGGCAGTCAGACGTTTAGGGACACTCAGAGCATGGCGTTGTGTCCCTGCCCATCTTGGCTAATTGCCATTTATGGCCTTATTCCAGGAACTTATGTAATTCCCTTTTGAACCCACTTATCCTGTTGCCCATCCCCATATCCCCTGGCAATGAGTTCCACGGGTTAATCGTGCAATGTGCAGAAGGGTACCGCCCCTTGTATGTATTAAACCTGCCGCCTGTTTGTTTCTTTGGGTGACTCCTGGGTTTTGGTGCTGTGGGACAGGGGAAATAGCAGTTCTCTACTCACTTTTCTCCACCCCATAGCATGATTTTCTAGCCCTCTGTCGCATCCCCCTGTCGTGAGGTGGTGTGGCCCCCCTCTGACCCAGAGGGGGGGAACCACGCTCTGTTCCCAGGTGGGTGGAGCCAGATCCGCCTTGCCCCTCCCACCGGCAGTGGGTCAGCAGAACAGGAAGTCTGGCTGTCGCGCTGCCGGAAGCACAGTTGGCGTCTTGCGGCTGGATTCCCAGCTGACTCAGTGGCGGCTTCTCCACCACTGCTGGGGCCCTGGGTCGGGTCCTGGTGGAGTTGGGTGGGCCCGGGCCCCCCCTGCCTCCCCACCACGGGGTGGCAGCCTCCCCTCTCCAGGTCAAGAGGCCTGGGTGTGTCGGCCACCCGCAGGAGCTAGGACGCCTGACTACGGTGTTTGCTCTGCCCCTGCTTAACGGGCCCAGGGACTATAGACAGTTGGCTGCTCTGCCCCCGGCCTGAGGACCAGAGCATAGGGACTCCTGGGAGGCCCTGCTCCTGCCTCGGGGCCGGAGTCTGCTCCCTGTTTGGGAGCCCAACCCCGTTAGACGGGTCGGGATGCTAACTCCTAGTTTGCTAAT